AAATTCTCATCTATTCCTTATAGAGTTGACAATTCACATAGACGTGTGCTACATGTAAATGTAGGGACTGTTCACGAAAAACAATAGGAACAAGGTTGTGTTTATACATTTTATCTGTCTTCTCTGTTTTGTTTTCAGAAAGTTCCCTTATAAAATCAGCAGCTTATAGACCAGTAAGTTACTATCATTTCATCCGGAAAATTAAAATGTAAAATGTTCATTTATATAAACTGAGTAATAAAAAGTAAAATTTACCAAAGAAAATACACTCTTCAAAAATGATATATTTTAGTTCAATAAATTCAAAACATCAATCCTGAACTGTGAGACAGGTTACTATTGATATAAGATGTGTGAATGAGTATCTTTTTAAAAATTTAGTTTGTATACCAACCACAGTTTCTCCTCCCTTTTCTCCTCTTCTTCCCTACCCCACCTCCATTTTACCCCTATCCCCAACAACTCCTCCTCATTCTCCTTTCAAAAAGGGTAAAGCCTCCATGGGAGTAAGCAAAGCAGGCTTATCAGGTCAAGGCAGGATCAACCTCTTCCTTCTCCCATCAAGGCTGGGCAATGTATTCCACTCTAGGGACCTAGTTTCAAAAGAGCCAGTATCGGGAACAAGTCCTGGTCTCACTGTAGGGCCCCCAGAAAAGAACAAGCTACACAACTGTCACCCACATGCAGAGGGCCTTGGTTGGTCCCATGCTGACTCCCTAGCTGTTGATCCAGAGTCCATGAACTGTGACAAGTTCAGGTCAGTTGTCTCTGCGGGTTTCCCTGTCTTGATCTTGACCCAGCCTGCTCATATAATCTGTCCTCCTTCTTTTCAACTGGACTTCCAGTGCTCAGAACAACTTATTATTGATTCAAGATTCAACAATGAGTATCTTAACTCCAATATCTAGCCATTGATAATCAGATATATAATTCAATATCTTTACAGCCCAGCGGGGAACAGTTCAGTGCTTAACTTAACATTAAGAACAGTGACTTCCATATACTTACAAAATAGAATGTTATTTTGAAGGTAAATGTTAAATTTGAAAATTAATACACTGTTTTTATAAATACCAATATATCTGTGACATATATGTCACAAGAATGTATGAAAAGTAAGTCACATGTATGTACCATATATAGCATTTCTTTCTTTGAATAAATTACCAAAGGATTTCAAACTGAACATGTATTTTTATGACATGAGCATTAATGAGATGGATTGCCATATAAATGTGCAGTAAAGATGTGCATTGAATTGCAGAGAAATTACAGAGGAATTAGAGAATAATCAATAAAAGTTAAATTTGAGGACTGGGCTATGAAGGAAATGTCTGTTGGGGAAACACAGATGTTACAATGTGCGTTGGCTGCCTTACAAGATCATGTTACACTGGCTGTGTTGTGTTCTAATTAGAAGTGGCATGAAACTATAAATGTATACAGTAATAATTATTTTCCTATGTTTTATATATGTTATATGTCCTTTATTTCTATGTGTAGAAAATATTAAAAATTGATGTAATGTGTGATATTACACACTAAGAGTAAAAACAGTTTATTCAACAGCATATGCTCTAATACGTTCATGATATCTTTGTGTGTTGTAGGCAGCATGTAGTATGTATAGTCCTCTAGGAATTTGTACCAGAGAGTATTTTCCAGTCTGTGGAACCAATGGCCATACTTATGCCAACAAATGCATTTTCTGTATTGCATACAAGTAAGAATACCATTCTCAATATAAGTTCTTCCTAAGTAATGAAGACTTAGTAGCAAAATCTTAGATTTGTGTGATTGCTATTCCATGCTCATAATACTCAGAAAAAAATGACCCTACCAAACCAATGTGCTATGAAAGGCATAGAAACATGTGTTCCTTGCTTTAATATCGTGATTTCTGAAATTGGCTTTTGATTTGGGACTTAAGGGTAGAGTCATGCAAACAAACAAATCAATTAATTTAATTATTAGGAATTCCTAATTTAAGATGTACAAACATGAAATAATTACAAAGCTGATGCTCAATAGATCTCTGTTACAGTCTGCAATCTATCAGCCTAGCAAGAAACTCCCTGGGAGCATCCTCTTATCCCCTGAACTCCATGGAAGATTCTATACCACAGGATACCCTAGGATCCCATCTGTCCAATATCCCTGTCCTTTTTACTCTGGGATTAGATTGCTGTGTCTCAGTGTATGTAGTTCCTCTGCTGTTTTATCTCACATGAGCTAAGTGACTTCCACTTCACAATCTTCTACTTACCATGTCTTTCTCAAGGCCTACTAACAATCCCCCAACTGGGCAAGCTCCACAACTAAGGCAGAGCTGAGGCAGTAGAAATGGTCCAGTCCACCCACAGCAGGACGTGTGCAGATGCCGGGAGCAGTCAGGGTTTAGTTGCTCATAAAAGGAGAAATTAATGTGTCCAATTCAGTTTTTCCCCTTTGAAAATATCATGTCACACTTCTTAAGGAGTTCGAAATAATCTTTCTGTAATTTCTTCAGAAAATTTTTGATCTCTTTTTTTTTCTTTGCAGAAAAACCAGTGGTTCCATTAATTTGGCACATTATGGTAAATGCTGAGTTTTAATGGAGCTATGTTTTCCTAAGGATCTTATTATGCTCTCAGTTTTGCCCTGAAGTCTACACTGGATTGGTGATTTTGTTATCAGGTTCCCATAGCCATAGAAGATTGGGTGAATCTCTGTGTAGGATCCACAAAAGAAGACTAGACTGTCATTGTTCTTTTCATTTCTCAGGTTCTCTGGTCTCAAGGTTTTACTGCATATGGTGAACTACTTAATGGCACTTAAATTCCTAAATCTTAATTTTACATTCTGTAAACTGACAACTTAAAGCCGTCAAGACCCAATTTATAGTTCTTAATAAAATCTTAAAGTCTACTCTTTTTCACGAAAATCTTTTCGGGGTTGGAAGAAATGCCCAGTGGTTAGGGAAGTTTGGTGAGTTGGGAGAGAACCCAAGTTTAGTTTCCAGCACCCATGTCAGCTATCTTTAAACATCTGTCTTCAAGGGGATTTCATAGAATTTTCTGTCTGCCGTGGACACCTCCATAGACATGTTAAACATAAACACACATAATCTAATAAATAAAAATAAATGTTTTACCAATCATGTTCACTTCTTCTTTGGATGATAAGGAACCCAAACACATGGTTTTGACAAATACATATGGCAAACTTTGAAGCAGAGTGCTGATTTTTGAATAGTATCTGTGGGAATGATATTTTCTGGAAATAACTCTTGCCTCAGAAGTTGAACTTTTGTGTCTTGACCTTGCAAGGAAACTGAATATACATCAAGACTATTTAATCTTAAATTGTATTATTCTCCCTCTCTATTTTCTGATGCTTCCTTGTCCCTGACTCAAGTCAATGTATGCATGTATGGTGAGAACTGGTCACCCGAAGTAGTAGACTCCAAAATTGTGGGGCATCCATCAATGAATACTCCTGGCACATGCATTGAAGCCACAGAAAGTCTTCATTAGCTGACAGACAACTACACTGGGTATTCCGGCTCTCAGTGTAGCCCTGAACCTTTTTCAGGGTGAGCTTTTAAGAATGAAACTCTAGTTCTGTGTTTGCATACTTCAGTTAAGAAGAGCAGTTAGCCTATAGCAGAATGTCAGAAGCCAAAAAGCAACATGACTACATTTAGTGGCTTTTGCAGATCCATGGACTAGGATGGATTAGGTCTTCATTTTAGTCCTGCTAGGTAGTGCTGTGTATGTGCTGAGCATTACAGTCTGAAGAGTCCTGCCACATTAAGTCAGTTGTGCTAAGGTCTGGGTCCTTGTTACACCACCCTATCTATGAGCAAGGGATCTGCAGCATCATTTGTACAAGGCTTCCTGCGTCCAATCACAACTAGAGTGCCCCTCTCTGATATCTGTTGTAAGGACAAAGTTTCTGTTTGACAGTTTTAAATTCGAAATTCTGATATGTAGATTAAAGCTGGAAGTTCATTCATGATTATTCCAATACTGGAATGTTGGTATGTAGTCCATGACTTAAGAATGTTTGCATTTACTGGGGCCATCTCTGTCTCTTTTTGACATGAAGAGTGTAAATTTTGTAGAATATTACTTTAACTAGGCAAAGATGTGTTACATTTGTTTATGCTGCAGAATATTACTCTAAATATGTAAAGGTATCTTACATTTGTTTATGCTACCAGTTTTAACATATAGAATGTTTCCTTTGGTTCATGTTGCATTTGTTTAATTATGTAAAGATGTATTAAGTTTGTTTCACCTTGCCTGCCTAAGGCACCTGAATGGTCTAATAAAGAGCTGAAGTCAAGAGCTAGCAGAGGAGGGATAGGTGGGGGTGGTGGGCAGAGAGAATAAATTGGAGAGATGAAGGAGAAGAAAACACTGACGGAGAAAGAGAGGACAGTTCTGGGGTAGAAGCCAGGCAGCTTCCAGCAAGATATGGAGTTAGCAGGAAAGTAAGACATACAGAAAGAAAGGTAAACAGCTCCAAGACAAAACATTGATGAAGAGAAACAGGGTAAAATAACTTATAAGAGCTATCCAGAAATGAGTAAAAGGTAAGCCCAAGCATTCCTAACTAATAATTCTCCATGTCATGATTTGGGAGCTCCATGGTGGCCCTAAAGAAAGTCTGCTACAATACTTCATATTAGTAATATAGCCAAAAACTTAGAAATTCTCTCTGGCCTACTTAGAAGATTTAGGAGGTAGACACAATACTATACTGACTTGTTGATCATTGGGGCAGTACAGATAATACTGTCTGCCACATAAGGAGAAGTCTACAGTGTCCTGTGGGTTTACTGCGGTATTTCAGCCCCTGGATAATTATACTCATAAGAGATTTCTCTGAAACAGTTCTAGGAGACACAGGAAGTTCATGTTTTAGAGCATCCCTATGAAAATGTGCAGATACAAAACAGTTTATGATCAATGCATAATAGATGAAGGAGTGTTTTTGTGGAGGAACTGGAGCCATTTTATAGGTGATGCAGGTAAGATTTAATTGTGTGAAACTGGCTTGAGTCGCTTTTGCTGTGATTTTATGACAGAAGCATCAATTCTCCTGAAAGGGATTGGCAGAAACATTTTTGTCAGTTACTACTGGATAATGATGGTTACTAAGGGAACAGTTAGGTGCCCAATAATACAGCACGAGAGTCCCAGAGAGCATCCTTATGAAAGGTTAGTCTCAGAGCAATGAGATAAATTTCTACTCACTTTTTCTCCTAACTAAATTTATAATGCCCTTGTGATCAAATTGATGACTTGAAGGAAAACTGTGGTTGTTGGGTTATTACATCTTGGGCTGTTCCTAGCCTGACTTTTTATTATTATTATTATTTATTTTATTTTATTGAGAAAAGGAAAAAAAAGTTTCCCCCTCCTCCTAGCCTCCCATTTCCCTCCCCCTCCTCTCACCTTCTCCCCCTCCACCCACTCCTCTCCCTCTCCCACTCCAGTCCAAAGAGCAGTCAGGGTTCCCTGCCCTGTGGAAAGTCCAAGGTCCTTCCCCCTCCGTCCATGTCTAGGAAGGTGAGCATCCAAACTGGCTAGGCTCCCACAAAGCCAGAACATGAAGTAGGATCAAAACCCCGTGCCATTGTCCCTGGCTTCTCATCAGCCCTCATTGTTTGCCATGTTCAGAGAGTCCGCTTTTGTCCCATGCTTTTTCAGTCACAGTCTAGCTGGCCTTGGTGAGCTCCCAATAGATCAGCCCCACTGTCTCCGTGGGTGGGTGCACCCCTCGTGGTCCTGACTTCTTTGCTCATGTTCTCCCTCCTTCTGCTCCTCATTGGGACCTTGGGAGCTCAGTCCAGTGCTCCAGTGTGGGTCTCTGTCTCTATCTCCATCCATCACCAGATAAGGGTTCCTGAAGTGTGGCCCTAGTTCACAGCTAGGGCCAATTCCTCCATATAGGTTACCTGTCCTCTAAGGGATGAGTGTTCACGGTGAAGGTTTGCTCTTAGAGCAAGACTGAAACTCAGAGTTATTACTGGAACCATCTACTCTGTTTTACCTGGGAAACAGTGGCTGCCTCATTTCAAAAGAAAGAGGAGAGGAAAAGAGAATCTGGAGAACTGATTATTTTTCCAGTGAATGTTGGCGTGCATATGCTGTCATGGTTCCCAGACAGGAGGCCACCCTCAAGATGCAACCTGTGATTTCTATGAAAAATATGCTAAGACCTCATTCTGTTGCTACTCATGAATTCATACACAAAAGTCAAACCCTTGCTTTTTTTTAAAACAAATGAATCAAAGGGCTTTGGAGTATTGTTCCTTTCTTGAGACTCTGATGCATTTTCCTAAAGATTGTTTTAACTGACCATCATCCCATTAGTGTTTCAGGGCCTGGGACATGAGAAAGTCTGATAGGATAATTGAGCCTACTCTGAGCTCAGTCTCTTTTGTGACACGAATCAGCCATTTATACAAGTGATCAAAGCCATCCCCTTTTCTTTGGTGGAATTATCGTAATTATGGTTATAAATTGGTATGGGGATAATAGTTCTGCTACAGGAGTCAAGATGGTTCACAAGCAATTCTGGATTGTGTAGCTTTTGTCTGGGAGACTCAACATCTTCAAGAGGTTAGAGAGTTCAGGGTTGTGACAATATTGTGATCTGTACTTTCCATGATAGGATTACATGTCAACATATCTTCTATATGTTGTAGAATATCTCCCCCTGAAGGTAATTCCCTAAGATATTTTACCAATGTGCTAAACCAAAGCTGAGTGCTGTCCCTGAGGCTTTGAATAAGGAACGCCCAAGTGTGCTGCTTGTGAAGTCCAGCAATTGAGCCTTCCTATTCTACATTCAATAAGTGTGCAGATCAGGGCACAAAGGAATTAGAAAAGAGCATATTGAGATCAACACTGTATACCATTTAGTAAACTCAAGGTCCTGGCAAGGAAGAGTCCAAGTATTAGCCATTAGAGGATGTAGAAGGATCACGAGGTTATTGACAAATTCAAAGTCCAGCATCTTGTGGCTTTTTCATTTGATGTGGCCATTGGCATGACTTTTTATGATCAGTAGGCCATACTTAAGAAAGAATTCAATGACAAGTGACTTCCTAATTAAGAGTCTTTTTTCTAAAAATATTCATTGCCTTTGACTGTGGAATTACGTATGTTAGTGGGTGCACATATCGTGTGTTGCATGTGTGAAGTTGCCTTTGATTGTATGATTGTGCATGTACGTGGGTGTGCATCTGGTGTGGTGCATGTGTGGAAATGAGAAGATAAGTTTTGAGTCATTTCTCTTTTCCCACCATTTGGGTTCCAGGGATTAAACTCAGGTTCTCAGGCTTAGCAGCAGGTGCCTCTACCTGCTAAAAAGTTGGAAAAGTAATAGACTTAGTTTTTCAATTTTGTTTTGTTATCAACTCTTGGTGATACTCATACACTATGTTTTGGTCACATCAACCCCTTCCCTAACACTCCAAGTTTTCTCCTCTCCCTACTCACCTGACTTCATTCCATTTCTCTTTTTTTTTCCCCAAATTCATTGTGTTGTGGATTACTCTCGGGCTCATGCAGTGTAGTAGTTTTTTTGTTTTTTTTTTTTTTTTTTTTTTACTTTTGGCTTGACTTGTTTAGGTCTTATGCGTTTTTGCAATTGCTTTGAAATTATATGAGCATCTTACCTGTTGCCTTCAGAAAATATTGTTTCTTCAAGTTACCAACTACTTCTGACTTTGGCAATCTTTCCTCTTTCTCTTTCACATCTACCCCTGGGTGTTCAGGAGTGTTGTATGGTACAAACATACCATTTAGGGTAAGGGCTCTCTGAAGTCTTCCATTTTCTTCATGGTGGGTGTTCAGTTGTTATTTGTTTTTCTACTGTAAGAGATACCGCTCTGAGAGGAGTTATGTGATATGATTTTTCTCTCATCTTTCCACCAGTACGTAGCATCTGTGGTTTTTTGTGAGAAGTGTTATTTTGGGCTTCACCAAAGGCTGGAGCCTGTTTTCTAATCCTATCTATTACTTAGACTCATTTTAAAAGAGACACTTTATACAGCTGTTAGGTGGCATTCTATTGGGCAAGGAGGTTTAGCTTTCCTGGGAATGAAAACACTCCACACTGTTGAGTCTGCTGTTGAATTTTCTGGGATACTTTAGATATTAGTCTCTCATGACTCCAGACACATTGATGATTGCAAGTTTACCTCCAGATATCTCAATAATTCTCCTTTCAACAGAATTGAGAAAGGTTCCTACAGACAACCTCTGAATGTATGGTTCCAAACCTGATCTTCAAATATAAAGGAAACTTTGAGAAAAATTATTGTTTTTGGTTTTTTTCCTTGGCCCTACTGACTCAAGAAGAAAACATTCCAGGAAAGTTTATAATAACAAGCATATTATTATTGTTACTATTTTACTTTTCTGTTTATGGTAACCTGGAATACTTCACCGTAGATCAAGATATGAGCATCTTGAGTCAGCCTGTTTCCCAGGAACCCTCAGTTCTGAAAGTTGACTTTGATGAAGGCTTTAGCCCTTTCCTATTCTGAGAAATAGTTTAATTCATTTCCTTTTGCCAGGCTTGTGAGTCCTGACATATTGGAAATGACCATGAGGGATGTATGGTCATTCATATGGCACTATTCTGTGCATAGCACCTAAAGCAGGTCTAAGTTTGCCCTTGTTATTTCTGTGTCTTATTAGGAGGGAAGTGAGTCTATGTTTCTGGCCGGTGGCACATACAGGGTCAAGGACAGTTATTTGGGCCCCTTCTCTCCTCTCTATTCCTTCCAATCTTCTTCCTGATTCTGGTTATTGAACACTGGAAAGGCAATTCTCAACAACTGTCTCCGTGGGGTCGGATACTGCACCCACAGGTTCTGAGGAATCCTTTTAAGGCAGAGGCATGTGTGACCTTTAGGGAATTTTGAGCCTCTGATGTTAAATTTGCTGAAGGCCTCTGTTAGTCTGTTGAGAAAGAAGGCAGAGTTTTCTTCCTTCAGCGACATCTTTGATTTTGTTGTAGTGAAGAGGTCTCTTATTTCAACTGCTCATTTCTTTTTTAATAAAGTTTACTACTAATGTCCCTACTAGGGTATAATTCTATTTGGTATCTTCTTTATCTGGGCAGACGTGCACTTGGCCGATACACATTAGCACACAGATGGAATCTTTTTTGCTTGAGATTTAGCTTCCTCCCATGTACTATGTTTTTAAGAGGTGCCATAAAGGAAGAAAACTAAAGTCATAGGACTTCTCAAGTAAGTTAATGGGCTGAAGTAAAGGTCTTGGAGTGACTGCTGGTTGTTGAGATGTGGGAAGTCTCTTGCTGAAGAAAGTGTCATGGGCTTGGATTGTTTTCACAGAGCCGGTAACTAACTTCCTTTTCTTTTCTTTACTTTTTTTCTCTTCCTACTTTTCTTTTCTTTTCATTCCATCTTTTTTCTTTTTTCTTTGTTTCTCATTTTCTTTCTTAACCAAGATTTAATGTATATTTCTTTTTAACATGTAAAACATATACTATACAGATTTCACACTGAATAAATAATATTCAGTAAGCCAAAAAGAGAAACGGAGGCGTTTACATCAAGTTTTTAGCTACATTGATGAAATACAAAGATGCACATTTTATCACTGAAAAAGATAACTCAATGTATTTCCTCATCAGGAACATCACCTCAACCTAGAACATTTTCACACCCCAATTAGAAAGGAAACAAAACAAAACAAAAACCCAGAAAAAAATAAAGTATAAATTGATTGGCTGTCGAGACAGCAAGGACTTTTTATAGAGACCAGTATAACATCTCACCAAGGGGGGGGGGTGGGGGGATGTCTGGGGAGAGATTAAATAGCTGCATCTGGCTTTGTGCAGTTCACCAACTTGTTAACTCATCATACTAGAAAGGGGTAGCCAGGAGGCAGGGGACCGAACTGTGGCAGTTCGAGGGGATGTGCAGTGAACAACATCATATATACACACACGTGGCAGCGCAGCCGCTGCAGCTAAAAGTTAAAAGCAGCTCTAAGAGCTGGCCTCAGGGTTATTCCCACAACCAAGGCGGAGAGAAAGAGGTCAGGGTGTTGTATGTTCACATGTGACACTTGGGGGGGGGGAGCCTTTTATTTTTTTCCCCCTCAACATTTAACTAAAAACAGTTTTTAAAAACCACAGCTTGATACTGACCCAGTGTCTTCTCTCATTCCAGGTGAGACATTATTATTAAAGGATGTTTACAGTATCAGGTGTGCAGAGCAGTTCATGAAAGGGTCTACACTCTACTGCACAGGCCTTTCCAGTGAATAGGGTCTGCTCACAACTACGACTTTCTTGGCTCCTGTGAGATTGTGAACAGACAGCAATAAACCGCATAGCTCAGCAGTCTCCATTTCTTTTTCAGTTTTTTTTTAAATTTCTTACTTATTTTAACCATGAAGAACAGTTATGAAATGTGGCATCCTGTGATTCAAGAACCAGGAAAGTCATCCCACCCCTCAAACTCACTGTAAACAACAGTTACTTTGTTTAAATAAAAAAGTCTATGTAGGCAGAGATTTATCTTTTCTAATAGAGTGGGGATCTGAGGGAAGCAGGTGAAGATGAGGAACAGAAATGTGCGTGTGAGGGCGTGGGGGTGGGGAGTGATCTCCCCAAGGAAGAAGCTGGACAGCACAGGGTAAACTGAATTTTGAGGTGGCTTTGCATAAATAAAGGGCTGCAGCCAGTTTTTAATTCTCCACACATTCACACACACACAGGAAAGAAGATACCCCACGGCCCGTCATGACTGACTAATCAAAATCAGTACGTGACGAATGACTTGAGAAGTCAATGAGTTCATCAATGTTGATACCAAGATGTCCAGCTTTCCTTGAATGGAGTTCTGTCGGCCCAAGAAAAGGCTGTTGGTAGGAGGATCTACTGCTGTGGGATCCATTCCTGTACGATTGTACTCCTTTTGTTCGGCAGACTTGGGGGAAATGGGAGAGCGTGGTGGTGTGTGCAACTCTGTGGGATGAGGACAGATACTTCAATGTAGTCTAGTTCAGGGATCGTCTCGAATGTGGAGCTCTGTGTGATGAGAATATACTTCAATGTATTCTAGTTCAGAGATCGTCTCGAATGTGGAGCTCTATGGGATGAGAACATACTTCAGTGTATTCTAGTTCAGGGATCGTCTCAAATGTGGAGCTCTGTGGGATGAGAACATACTTCAGTGTATTCTAGTTCAGGGATCGTCTCGAATGTGGAGCTCTGTGGGATGAGAACATACTTCAGTGTATTCTAGTTCAGGGATCGTCTCGAATGTGGAGCTCTGTGGGATGAGAACATACTTCAGTGTATTCTAGTTCAGAGATCGTCTCGAATGTGGAGCTCTATGGGATGAGGACAGTACTTTATCATAGTCTAATTGAGGGACCATCTAGAATATTGCAGAGTTCCCTTTTTCTTTTCTCTTCTCATAGTCTCCTCACTTGGTAAGTACTTCCAAGGACCCTGAATAGAAGGCTCTTCAAATAATTTCTCTTGGCTCACACAAAATGCACCCAGCTGTAAGATGGTAGTACAATGTGAGCTCTCACCTTTTAATCAGATTTTCCCAGTACCACTTTATAATGCTAGAACTTTCCGTTTTAAGAAAGATATTTCTATTTATCCGTAATCTCTCTTTTTTGTTTATGTTCTCAGTAACAATATTATACCTACTCTTGTGGTTACAACATAATGACTCATAAAGTGAGGCCGAACTGGAGGTTTCCAGAATGCAAAAGTGCATCTTCTCTCTGCCTCCTCCAGGCCCTCAGACACACCTGTCTATCCTCCTCCCTGTCTCAGGACCCATTGCCTGAAGGGCATCAAACGTATCCACACTGAAGCACTGGCTTGTGATCTAAGATTTTTAGACTAGACTTCACTCAGCTAATGTTTAAACTAACGCCTCCACTACAAGTCTGCTGCTCACAGAGGTACAGGAGCAAGCACACTGGGGCAGGAAGTATACTGTCTCTGATCCTTGCGGAGGTAGTGACTGTGACTCTTTCCTTGTCGTCTGTGGTGGGTCTCCCCTTTATCTGAAATAAACTAAATGGAAAAGAACGTGTGCAAAGGAGAAGAAGGAAGGTAGGAAATGGGCTACCATTTAAGCCACGCAATCAAATTAGGTACAAGTCCTCATATGAGGGTTGGGGGAGGCAACCTAATACAGGAGAAAACGGTTCCCAAGAGCAGAAGAATTGGAGAACCACTCCCTCCCTTTATTCTCAGTCCCCTTCCCCTCCTTTTCACTCTTCGTCTCTCTGCAGTTTAGTCAGGAGGTCTTGTCTCTCAGTCCCCTTCCCAGGGTGATCCATAGGACTCTCTTAGAGTCCTCCTTGTGACCAGCTCCTCTGGAACTGTGATTTGTTGCTTGGTTATTCTTTGCATCTACTATCCACTTATGAGTGAGTAAATACCATATTTGCCTTTCTGAGTTTGGGTTACCTGACTCAGGATGATTTTTTAAAATTTTTATCTGATTATATTTTATTAACATTCTTTTTTAGATAGAGAGAAAATAGGCATGTGGATTCTGGTAGGGTAACTTGAGGAGGACCTAGGAGGAAGGGAAACTGCAATCAGGATATATTGTATTAAAATTTTACTTTCAGTTAAAAAAACCTTCAGTGTGAGATTTCCTTCAAATAAAAGGTAGAAATACAAGTCCATGTCTTATACTTTTAATGCTCTAGATTTAATGACATACAGACTGTAAGTAAGCGTTTCTTCATAATTTTGACATGTTTCCCTATGTACTCCAGGATAAAGAAGCACAGCAATAGGAAAGGGTGCCTCAGACCAGACACAGAGAGAATCTATTCCTAGTGTGCATAGCTGCAGAAAAGATGGAGAGAAGCAACTAACAAAAATGACAGGGTCGCTTTCCCTCAGCCCATGCTCTTTCCTGCTGTTCTTTTTGAATTCTGTTTTGGGGAGTGTCCTTGAGCTAAGCTATAGCTGAGACTTCCAGGGGAGCATTTGGCCTGTGATGTTCAGGCCTATTCTCCTAACCATTAGTTCTCTGCTTTGACAGACAACAGAGCAATGTAGTCACCAGAGTTAGAAGATTGCTGTGATTGTAGTACATATTAATTTAAAAGGTTAATAACCTATGCCCATGTCTGAAATGTCATTGTCAACCTCATTGTTTCTCATTGATTCTCTTTTCTTCTTATACCTCATTTATTTGGAAAAGATTGATATTTCTTCCCTTTCCTAGATTAATTGAGCACTTCATTCATTTAGTACTTATGAGTTCATGAGGCCAAACTGTCCCTGAATATCAGGCCAAGAAAAGATCTATTGAACACAGGCTTCACTCATGACCTGCTTTACGACCTCCAGAGAGAGTACACTAAGTCTCCGTGTCTTATCTTCCCAGTGCAATCCTCTCAGCACATAGAGCCCATCACTCGTAGATGAACTGGAGACTTATCTCGAAGACTCTGAGTGAGGAAATAAAAGTGAACATTGGAATGAACAAAATAGTCACAGCCTCTGAACTGTTGTCCTTAAACCAAATATCTCTGTGTGTGAGGTAGGTCATGTGGGTCTCCCAGAGACAAAGCCTTGTTGAGGACTTCTCCAGGTTAGTGCCCTTCCTAAAATAATGACAATGGAGCCTTTTTTTAAAAAAGAAAATATTGATTTAAATGACTCCTTTTCCTATCCTGCTCTGTCTTTCACACACACACACACACACACACACACACACACACACACACAAACAAATTAGTAGATATTCTCTGTTAGTATTTTTCTATTTTGATAATTGTTTCTTTACCTATTTATCTATTTATTATCTCTCTATAACTTTTAATTTCTGGTTGTTCTCTGATTATAGTTTTAGACCTTGTTGAATTATATTTTAGAAACAGAGAAAGGGAACTTTCCCTTAATCAGGAATCTGGGTGGATGGAAATGTGTCCTCAGAATCAAGCATCTCTGTCAGCGGATCTCTGGTTGTTGTCTTTTTTTTTTTATTTGCTGTCAAAGGTACCGTGTTTACCGACATTCCAAGGTTTGTTGTGTATCTTCATAAAATGTTGGTCTTCTCAGGAGTTCAAGTTATGTACATCACCTTGTCCTTTCTTCTTTGTTCTGGTGAGTACATTTTGCTGTACTAGATGTGAACCTTAAACATAATCTACAAAAACTCGGGGGGGGGGGACCTCGGAAACACCAGAAATGACTGAATGAGCTTGTCTCACTGGGGTTATAGTCCTTGAACTGGTCATGTTAGGAATGTCTCTAAAGTGGCAGCAGTGGATCGTTCTTCTTTTTTTTTTTTTTTTTATTTTTTAAATTTATTTATTTATTAAGGATTTCTGCCTCGTCCCCACAACCGCTTCCCATTTCCCTCCCCCTCCCCCGATCAATTCCCCCTCCCTCATCTGCTCGAAGAGCAATCAGGGTTCCCTGACCTGTGGGAAGCCCAAGGACTGCCCACCTCTATCCAGGTCTCGTAAGGTGAGCATCCAAACTGCCTAGGCTCCCACAAAGCCAGTACGTGCAGTAGGATCAAAAACCCACTGCAATTGTTCTTGAATTCTCAGTATTCCTCATTGTCCGCTATGTTCAGCTAGTCCGGATTTATCCCATGCTGGCCTAGGTCTGAAAAAACATGGATCGTTCTTCTAACTAGTCCACTTGGAGAAGTGAGAAGAGAGCAGTGGGTTAGGACAGGCTGGGCAGGCTTTCAGTGTCTGTTCATTTGTCCTCCAGATTTCTAACAAAATGCTGTTATCAAATGCAAAGTTGAAGACAGACTAATAACTTTAAATACGCCATTCTTTGAAGATGCAATTTATTTTACAGCTTTTGGCTGTCTTAGATAAGGCCCATTTTATCAGTTGTTTGATCAACTATCAAGGTCAAGATTGGCTGTGGATTTCAAAGTGAGGCATTTGTTAAACATTGCTTAGAACATTGAAACTACTGCTGATTACAGTCTTTTTTTTTCAAGTCAAGTGAAAACTCAAAAGATATTTTGAATTCTGAGGTCAGGGTGTTTCACTTAATAATTGTATAAAATTAATATTTCCAGGTCTATTAACAAATGGAAAATGATAGTTTTGTATATGAGAGCAGTATAAAAGACCGCTTTTCCTGGTATACATATATATATATATATATCTGTGAATCAGAATTTTCTGAGCTTGCATGTATTTTTAATTATTTTTTACTAATGACACAAAATTCTCATCTATTCCTTATAGAGTTGACAATTCACATAGACGTGTGCTACATGTAAATGTAGGTACTGCTTACAAAGACAATATGAACAAGGTTTTTTTTATACATTTTATCTGCTTTCTCTGTTTTGTTTTCAGAAAGTGCCATTATAAAAAGAGCATTTCATATACACGTAAGTTACTATCATTTCATCCAGAAATTGAAAATGTAAAATGTTCTTTTTTTATTAACTGAGTAATTTAATGTAAAATTTATTCAAGAAAATATACTGTTCAAAACTTAAAACATGATATATTTTGTTATAATAAGTTCAAAACAGCAATCCTGAACTGCAAGATAGTTTATTATTGATGCATGATGTGAGAGTATCTTTTTTTTTTAAATTTAGTTTGCATACCAACCACAGTTTCCCTTCCCTTATCTCCTCTACTTCCCTACCCCACCTCCTTTTCACTGCTCCCCTCAACCACTCCTCCTCATTCTCCTTTCAAAAGGGGTAAAGCCTCCCATGGGAGTCAGCAAAGCATGGAATATCAGGTCAAGGCAGGACCAACCTCCTCCCTCTCCCATCAAGGCTGGGCAATGCATCCCACTCTAGGGACCCGGTTTCAATAGAGCCAACATCAGGGACAGGTCCTGATCCCACTGTAGGGCCCCCAGGAAAGAACAAGCTACACAACTGTCACCCACATGCAGAGGGCCTAGGTTGGTCCCATGCTGACTCCCTAGCTGTTGATCCAGAGTCCATGAACTACCACAAGTCCAGGTCAGCTGTCTCTGTGGGTTTCCCTGTCTTGATCTTAACCCAGATTGCTCAAATTATCCCTCCTCCTTCTTTTCAACTGGACTCCCAGAGCTCTGGGCAACTTATTATTGATACAAAGTTTAACAGTTAGTATCCTAATTCCAAATTTCAGCCATTGATAATCAGATATATAATTCAATATCTATACAACCCAGTGGGGTATAGTTCAGTGCTTAACTTAACATTAAAAACAGTGCCTTCCATATACTCACATAGCAAAATGTTATTTTGAAAATAAATATTAAATTTGAAAATAAATATATTGTCCTTCTAAATATCTATATATCTGTGACATATATGTCACAAGAATGTATGAAAGTCACATGTATATAACATGTATAGCATTGATTTCTTTGTATAAATTACCAAAGTATCTAAAATTAATCATGTGTTTTTATTAAAATGAGCATACATGAGATGTATTGCCATTTAAATATACAGTAAACATGTACATTGAATTGCAGAGAAATTACAAAGAATGAGAGAATAATCAATAAAAAGTTAAATTTGGTGATGGGCTATGAAGGAAATGTCTGGTGGGGAAGCACAGATGTTACAATGTGTGTTGGCTGCCTTACAAGATCAGGTTACACCAGCTGTGTTTTGTTCTATTTAGCAGAGGCATAAAACTATAAATGTAATAATTACATGATTTATATATGTTATATGTCGTTTTTATCTATGCGTAGATGATATTTAAGCCTTCTTGTGTGACATTACATACTAGTAGTAAAAGCAGTTTATTCAACAGCCTATGCTCTAATACGTTTATGATATCCTTGTGTGTTGTAGAGACAGTGTGAATCTTATAGTCCTCTTGGATATTGTAGCAAAGAGTATCTTCCAGTCTGTGCAACCAATCGCCGGACTTATGGCAACATATGCATTTTCTGTATTGCATACAAGTAAGAATACCATTCTCAAAATAAGTTATCCCTAAGTAATGAAGACTTAGTAGCAAAATCTTAGATTTGTGTGATTGCTATTCCATGCTCATAATACTCAGAAAAAAATGACCCTACCATCCAATGTACTATGAAAGGCATAGAAACATGTGTTCCTCGCTTTAATATTGTGAATTCTGTAAGTGGCTTTTCTATTTGGGACTTAGAATAGAATTGTGTTGAATACTGTGCAAACAAACAAATCCATTAACTTAATTATTAGGAAGTCCTAATTTCAGATATACAAACATTATGAAATAATTCCAAAGCTGATGCTCAATAGATCTCTGTTACAGTCTGCAATCTATCAGGTTAGCCAGAAACTCTCTGGGTGCATCCTTTTATCCCCTGAACTCCATGGAAGATTCTACACCACAGGATGCTCTCGGATCCCTCTGTCTAATATCCCTGTCCTTTGTGCTCTGTGATCAGATAGCTGTGTCTCATGTGTATGTAGTTCCTCTGCTGTTTTATCTCACATGAGCTAAGTGTCTTCCACTTCACAATCTTCTACTTACCATGTCTTACTCAAGGCCTACTAACAATCCCTCATCTGGGCAAGCTCCACGACTAAGGCAGAGCTGAGGCAGTAGAAATGGTCCAGTACATCCACAGCAGGACGTGTGTAGATGCCAGGAGCAGTCAGGGTTTAGTTGCTCATAAAAGAAGAAATTAATGTTTTCAATTCAGTTTTTCCCCTTTGAAAATTTCATGGCACACTTCTCAAGGAGTTTGAAGTAATCTTTCTGTAATTTCTTCAGACATTTTTGACCTCCTTTATTTTTTTCTTTGCAGAAGACACCGTGGTGCCATTATGGTGACACGGTTTGAAGCATGCTGAGTTTTAACGGAGCTACGTATCCCTGGGGATATTATTATGATCGCAGTTTTGCCCTGAAGTCTACAGTGGGTCAGAGATTTTGTCATGAGGTTCCCATAGCCCCAGAAGATTGGGTGAATCTCTGTGTAGGATCCACAAGAGAAGACTGACTGTCATTGTTCTTTTCATTTCTCAGGTCCTCTGGTCTCAAGGTTTTACTTCATGTAATGAACTACTTAATGAAACTTAAATTCCTAAATCTTAATTTTACATTCTGTAATCTGACAACTTAAAACCATTAATGCCCTAGTTATGTTTCTTAATAAAATTGTAAACTCCACTGTTTATCGAGAAAATCTTTAGGGGGTTAGAAAGATTTCCCAGTGGTTAGGGAAGCTTGATAATCTCTGTGCAAACCCAAATTTGGTTTCCAGTGTTCATATCAGGTTTCTTATAACCTCCATCTTCAGGGAGTCTCATATTATCTTCTGTCTCCCACAGACACCTGCATAGACATGTTGCACATACACATGAATATAAACATAGACATTAATAAAAATAAATCTTTTAAAAACGGTGCTATTTCCTTCATTGGAATATGAGGTATCCCAAACATATACTTTTGACAAATACCTATGAGAAGCTTTGAAATGCTCATTTTTGAATAGTTTCTGTGGCAATGTCTTTTTCTGGAAATAAATCTTGTCTCAGGAAGTGAACTTTTATAACTTGACCTTGCAAGGAAGTTGACCATAAGCATCAAGTCTATTTACTCTGAAGCATATTCTTTCTCTCTTCATGGGGACCCTTCCTTGCTCCTATGCCAGAACAATGCGTGTGTTGTGGAAACTGTTCACCTGAAGCACCAGGTTGAAAACAAACATGCCCTAGAAATATTGAAAGGAACATGTGGTTCTAGGTTTTCACAAAGGTTTTCAGTTGTGTGCTCTTCTGGGTCAGTATAGGATACTCTTCACTTTTGAAACCTTTTGAAATACCTTTCCCCTTTAATCATTTATATTCACCCTGTATTTGATCTACACACACACACACACACACATACATATGACTATATATGTGTTATATGACTATATATATGCATATTTATGTGTGTTTACTGTGTGATCTGTGCTTACTATGTGATGTGCGATATGAGAGTTAATGAAGTGTGACTGAAATAAAGGGACCCATGTTTGCCTCAGCTGAAATCACCAGGGACAGTTAGAATTCAGCAAATGGCTGCCTGTGAAATCAACACACCTTGTGAATGCTTGATTCAATACATTAGGCACTGTGAAAATGCTAAATCAAACAGACAAGCAAGCAAAAATAGAAGACAAAGGAATCCCAGTTCTTTTTGTATACCATGTTATACACACTGTTCAGCAAATACAGAGCCTTACCATTGCTGAAGACCGATGGAAGATGTAAAAGTAGGAAAATCAGATTGGGCTTGCTCTTGATAGAAATGGTGCAAAAAAGATGAGTCCATTGTTTGATTTCCATGTGTTTGTGGGCTTTCTGGAATTAGTATTTCTGTTAAATTCTAGTTTAAATCATGGTGATATGATATCACCGTGGGGATCATGGGGTTATTACAATTTTTTTGTATTTGTTGAGGTTTGTTTTGTTACCGAGTATGTGATTAATTTTTGAGAAGATTCCATGAGGTGCTGAGAAGAAGGTATATTCTTTTAAGTTTGGATGGAATATTCTATAGATGTCTGTTAAGTTCATTTGATTCATAATATCTGTTAGTTCCCTTATTTCTCTGTTAATTTTTTGTCTGATTGAACTGTTTAGTGGTGAGAGTGGAGTGTTGAAGTCTCCCACTATTAGTGTATGTGGTTTAATATATGATTTAAGCTTTAGAAGTGTTTCTTTTACATATGAGGGTATCCTTGTATTTGGGGCATATATGTTCTGTATTGAGATTTCCTCTTGATGGATTTTTCCTGTGACTAATATGAAATCTCCTTCTTTGTCTCTTTTGATTGATTTTAGTTTGAAGTCTATTTTGTTAGCTCTTAGGATAGCTACACCAACTTGTTTCTTAGGTCCACTTAATTGAAAAAAATTTTCCCAACCCTTTACTGTGAGGTGATGTATGTCTTTGAGGTTGAAGTGTGTTTTTTTTTTATGCAGTAGAAGGATGGGTTCTGTTTTCATATTCAGTCTGTTAGCCTTTGTCTTTTTATAGGTGAGTTGAGCCCATTTATATTAAGGGATATTAGTGGTCAGTGATTGTTATCTCCTGTTAATTTAGTTTTTGTTGTTGGAATATTAATTTTGTGTTTTCCCCTTCTTTGGGATTTGCTACTGTGAAATCATCAATTGTCTGTGTTTTTGTTGAAGTAGTCAAATTCCTTGGGTTGGAGTTTTCCTTCTCGTATTTTGTGTAGGGTTGGGTTTGTGGCTATGTATTGGTTAAATCTAGTTTTGTCATGGAACATCTTGTTTTGTTTTTCTATGGTGATTGAAAGTTTTGTTGAGTATAATAGTCTGGACTGGCATTTTTGGTCTCTTAATGTTTGCATAATGCTTGACCATGACCTTCTGGCTTTCATTGTCTCCCATGAGAAGTCAAATGTAAT